CCACTCTATACTCCGGGTGTTTTGACTGTTTTAGGTACCAGACCCTCACGTTTCCGGTCAGTCCGCTTATGATGTGTGGCGAGGACAGTTGGATAAACCAAGGTATATTTTTTAACTACCTTCGTATACAGAATCGCAACGAGTTTGTTCTAGATTCGAATTGTTTTTTTTTTTTATATAGCACAGAACGGCAACGGAGTGAACTAGGTCATGCAATAACGCAAAAGCAATAACGTAAAAACACTGAGCGAAACAGTATTTTCATAGAACAATTTGACATAGATGTAGTTTGTACCTCTGGGTTTTCCGGTTTTAAAATATTGCAATGGATTCTTAATTGCTTTTTTTCTGCTTGCAACTGTTCAAATGGACATTTTAATATATACCATACTTATGTGTTTTTTCGCATGCTGAAATTGGGTCTGTAGTTATGGCATTTGTTCATTTTTGTTGCCGAAGTTTGGCAAGAGCCCAACTTCACTGATGTTTCACCTGCTTTGCCAAATACAATTTCTTTCACCGATTTATTCGACGGAGAAAATATGCCGAGAGGCGTAAAAACAGCCACCTCATGCAGTGGCCGGCCAATGCCAGAGTTTGAAAGTCAGTGAAACAAACTATTCATTCAGTGCTGTTTGTTATTGCTTAACCATTGAATTTGCGTGATTAATCTTGAAGTAAAGATAGCTTAGTTTTTAAAAGAACATATGTGTCACCAATAGCATTATCATAATTAAGTACTCACATTTCATTCCAATCTTTTCAGGACACGCAAGGTCGGTTCAGGAAGTGACCACACGCCTTTCGTAGCCAATGCCGGAGTTCCGGCCCTTTATGCGAAATTCGCTTTCACGGTTAGAATTCGATTTGTGATGCCTTCTTCAAATGCTCTTTTGCTGATTTTATGCATTGTTACAATTAGAGAGTTTTGTTTCATTATAGCAGATTGTCATGTAAAACAAAATTACAAATAGTACACATTGCAACGTATCGAATTCCAAATAGGTAGCAGTGACCTAATTTACTCCCGATTGTGAATATCTTGATAAAATTTAAGAAAGATCAAGATATATTTAAAATTTACGATTTTGATATTTAACGTTCTTTTGAATTATTAAAAAAACACCTGCTTACTCCTTAGAATAGAATTATGAAATTCAACTTCGAAATGAATAACAATTGATATTGTTATGTAAATAATCAACAACACCATGTTGCAAAGCATACGACATAAGTACATCGTATTTGTCCATTTACAAAATATCTTACAAATCTCTGTCAGAGGGTAATTGTATCGCGGGACCTTCCTGTTTTCTCTCGAACAGGATGACTGGAAATCGACATCAACACCACTGTATCACACAAGATACGAAACTACTAGTCTGTTATTGATGATAGACCCCGGATATAAACTTTCCGGTGCCATAGCGGGAATTCTTGCAGAGACGGGCAGACGACTCACAGATTCACTTGTACTTCCGCTAGGAGTAAGAGACTACGCCGAGGATCTAAGGACGTCGGTGAATTCGTTAAATGAATCTGTGTCTGGAATCGTGGAAGAGAAATATATAAGTACGTTGTGAGAGGCTTGTGAGAAACAGGGTTAGATTTATATATATCTCCCTTGAGCTGAAAGTTTAACAATCCCTATACATGTCGTAGAGGGGAAAACATGTCTGAATTCGTCAATGAAAATAAAAAAGCATGTGCAGAAAAAACCTCAGATCAAGTAAATTAGAAAGAAGTCTATTTGGGCTAACCGCTTACAAATTTTTGTTGATAGGCCGTTCAGAACAAACAATCTATTTCCTAAATGAATATCTGTTGAGTTACCTGATTTGATTTATTTTGACTAACGGATTTCTATTTTACAAATGATGTGTTTCAGAAGATTTTATATCCACGCAATAGTATTGTTTTATGTTTAAATTACTATCATTGGTAATGTAAGCAATTATTTCGACTGTTACCCAAAGCTAAAAAAATATAGGCACAATTATTTGCACAGTAGCATCGTAAACATTCTATAACTCCATTTTAACAAATGCACGTTTCTGAATTACCTTTTTTTTTTAAAGTTAATTTTAAATTTTACTGTTCAAATAAATTTGACTTATTAACCTTGTTACAAATCTGAATTTCATCAGCTAGTTTCTATGTACCTGAATTGATTCTGAAATCCGAGTATCTTTAAATGTTAAAAAATAAGGGAACCATTTATTCTTTCATGGACTTCATTTCGAATCTCGTCAGTCGAATCCAGACTCCAGTAATACCATTAGGTCAAAGGAATACTGACTCAATTATCCGAAGCTTCCATTTTTTTTGGTCTTATTGACGGGAGATTATCGATAGATAGGCTTTCTTCGGTATATTGTCAAAAGATACGTGTATTTTATTAAAATGTATTGTTTTCATGTTTCAGAGGGTGTCCTGAAGGGCACCGAAGCACTGTTTGAGGCTGTTGACAAGTTTGAAAAGGCAAAGGAAAGCCTTGACAAGCAGAAGTATAGCATTTCTTTATAAAATACTCTTACGCTTCATTACCATTCCTTAAATTAACCCCTATATACTTACCGCGTCTTATAGTACATTGACATTTTAATCTCAAACCTGTACAATCAGATAATGTACGCAAGGAATTATCAGTTTTATATTCTGCGTCTAGATGAATTGTAAATAGGATTTCTCTATTGTATTCCTAAGAGTTGTTTCATTGTAATAAGATTTTATACAGAATCGTCATCACTTTTTGCAGCGTAGCCAGGGTCGCTTCATAAATTTCGTCTCGTCATTCATGCACCCTTGATGATGGCGTAGAGTATTAGGTTTACCATCACATCTTATTTTTTATAGTAGAAGAGTAGAAATGAAAAGAAATCAATCACTCCTGTGTGATACAGAGAGAAAAAAATAGCCCTTGGGATAATTTATGTTTGAGTTTAGCACGTGTCAACTCCTCGTGCTAAACTCTTATGATCTTACCCTAGGGTTGAAATTTCTCTTTATTCCTTACACAAGAGTGACTGATTATATTAGTCCTTTAACTAGAAATCACGGGATTTGTTCTGTGAAGTGTTTAATTTAATTGTTTAAATTGTACACCTGATGATACACGTATGACGTTAGGGAATTTATTCAAAGACCGGTGTCCGTATAACAAGAAAATTAGCAACTACATCATTGAATTAACATGTAAATGCTTTCATTTATTTCAGCCCTATAGAGATCAGAAACCTCAACGACAAAATGATGGCAGTAGAGAGGGCATTTCTTGATGTTAATGGAATCCCTTACCGTCAAAATTACAAGTAAGTTTTTCTTCACAAACGGCGTTTTACCACCACGCCATGATCACTGTCTTATTTTCCGATGCAAAAATTTAATACTGTATCTTGTCTCGTCGAACATGTAAGAAAAAAAAGTAAAGAGTTTAATTTGAACTCAAATATTATATAGCTCCAGGTAAAAAAAAAAAAAAAAAAAAAAAAAAAAAAAAAAAAAAAAAAAAAATTTTAACAGGCGATCGATAAACTGTAGATATAAAAGAGGACAATGTATTCTGGGAGGGGTAAGAGTATTCTGCTTCATCGACGACACCTACCACGTAAATATAAATCAGATCCTTTAAATTTGACGTTCTCAAAGTAGGGACCGGGGAAGTGACAAACAAAAAACGTTCAGCGCAATAATGAGCATAATCAAAAAGTCGATATTCATATTGAATAAATTAAAATAGAGTATTTCCCAAGGGCATAACGGTGACAAGAACACCAAACTTGCTCTTAGTCTTCCTTAACCTGTATCACTCGAAAATATCAAATAAACTGCCATATGAGGAGAAGCAGGGATGTTTCTTTGAACAAAGGGAAGGTTCACGTTAGTTGTAAGCGGTTCCTGTAGATGATATTATAAGAAACGATCGAGGAGCCGTAACCGTTTGATGTAGAAGAGCCTTATATGTAGCGTTCCGATTTCGCCGATACATTTCTCAATATTTAAAGTCAATCCCTCGGATGATTTTCCAAAATGTTACTGGCTATTCTGCTAATTTATTTTCAGTAATACCGGGTTTCATAGTATATTTAGTTTTCAAGAAATTGCCCCTAGTATCATGATTAATTAACATGTCGACTGCTGACGAGCAAGCTTACAATACACGGTCTCCAAAGATGCAGGTTGAAGTAGACTATTGTCAAGTTTCATGGGTCGCCGTCATGATCTTTATATATGTTGTTACATTGTGTGATATGATGGTCGGCGGTGCTTTTATTATTTACATCCATATGTCTTGCTGTTTGTTTGTCACTAACCCATTTTCCGGTATGCGGACGTGACTTGGATTTGACCAAGATTTACATGGCAGGCGTCTCGTCAATGAAGCAGAAGACGCTTACCCTTCCAGAACACCTGGTCTTAATACATCCTCGTACTTTTTCAAGGGTCTCTATGTATGTCTTTTCTTTGTTCATGTTTCGCCCTAGTTTGATCGATTTTGAGTTTGAATTTTGAGTTGACATTCGATATTTTCTTTGTTGACAATCATTACATAATTCGCTTGTTTGATAAAAATGTTAAGTTGACATAGGAAGGGTCAGTGAACATATGAATCCACGCAGCGAAAATCTGTTATACATAATTTTTGTCTAATCTTTGAAACAAAACAAAAAAATAAACATAGGAGTTATTTAAGTATTTATAGATAACAGTAAAAGAATAATACTAACATGTATTTATTCATTTATTTTGCATTCTTCATTTGCATATTACTCTTGTAACTTAGATGAACACACACTTCACATTGACAACAATGTAATACAGTGTATACCAGGAAATTTTCGCTGCAGTTTAAATTTCGCCCTTTTCGAATTTATCATAACAGCGAATATATGTAAACCCCATACGCTTATTATATCTTAAGGGCGAAATTATCACGGGACGAACAATGATTTTACCAGTAAAGGCGAAAATTTAACTGGACGAAAGTTTCCCGGTATACAATATAACAAAGACGATATTGCTCAATACTCGTGTCAATTTAGGTTACATTATTATGACGTCATATATCGACATCAAATAATATAATTATGATTTTTCTTAGGCACCTTCTGCATACGCCAAGCGCTACGAACCATTATGGCGGTCAAGGTTTTCCAGGGGCGGAGGATCTCTTGTTCCGGTGGAAACACAACAGCACCAGATCTGCCGTTAGGGAGCTTGAGGGACATCTATCCGTCATTGCTTACGCCCTGTTCTCTGCGGCCAAAGTCCTCATTCATTAATCATCATCTTCAATTAAGGAACCTCAGATCAATAGAAGTGATTTGTTGTTGTTGTTGTTGTTGTTTGTTTGTTTTGATGTGGATTTACATGAGGATTTCATCCCGACAACATTTGCTCAAGAGATCAATCACTATGGAAACGCGCTAAACCGATATTGTGGTTTACGGTAAAATAGTCGAATTAAGTTTTTTTGCCGGATTGATGAAATATGCCAACGCAGTGAAAGTTGCTAAAGCAAACGTCTGTCAATAAGGATTTTCTTGAAAATAATTATTCCCGGAGTCTCTGAGGTTTTCATCAGCATCGCACGAGGCGTTCTGATTACTTAACCAAATATGAATACGGGTTCACCTTCTTTGAAATTTCCCTTGGTTCGAGAAATTATCGGTCAACGAGACTGAAGTTCGTCACGCGAGGCAGATGTCAACCTCCTGAACATAACAAAAAACTAGCAGTATGACGGAGGAAAACTTTAAAACATTGGAATGACGTGTGTTTATCGAAGAAAAGAGAATGCATTTTAACTAGATAAAGGAGGTTTTTAGAAAAGTAAAATGTCCATCTTTCCAACGGTTCCCAGTAATTTCATCCATCTCTTTAGAGATGCGAGGAAGTGAGAACGTGAAGTTCAGTTGATGTTTTGATATTGTGACCTTTATACCATCATTATGGTAACAATTTTCCGAGCGTTCCTCTGAACCCCTAAAACATCTTATATTATACATTTATTATGCCGAAAACAAACAAAAACAATAACACAATAGGACAGATGATTAGGTTGACGCGCCCTCGTTGTCGTCTGCTTCCGGTATTCGGAACGAGGTTGTGGTGGCTCTTGCCCAATTTACCAGAGAGTCTTCGAATAAGGGAAATATGATCGGAGAAACTTGAGCGCGTGATGGCAGGATGGTGTTTTATTGCCCTGTCATGTGATCAGTATTATCTTATAAGACACGTTGTTTGAAAGATGAGGTAATAGTACTCTTAACACATTCTGAAAGGTCAAAACATGCTATTTGTAACAAAGTCACATATCTCTGTTACCGGTATGGCGTGTAAGACTACCGGTATGACGTGTAAGGTTACCGCTATATTGTGTAAGGCAACCGGTATGACGTGTAAGGTAACCGGTATGAATTGTAAGGTTACCGGTATGACGTGTACGGCTATCGGTATGACATGTAAGGCTATCGGTAGTACATGTAAGGTTACCGCTATGACATGTAAGGTAACCGGTATGACGAGTAAGGATACTGGTATGACGTGAACGGTTACCGGACACCATTGTTATATTACCGGTTTTACATGTTAGGTTACCAGTATGACGTGCAATATTACCGGTATGACGTGTAAGGTAACCAGTATGACGTGAAATATTACCGGTATGGCGTGTAAGGTTACTGGCGTGGCATGATCTATTACTGGTATGACGTACTAAGTGAGCGGGTTAATAAGGTTATTGGTATGATGTGAAATGTTACCGTTATGCCGTGTAAGGTTACAGGTATGACATATAATGTAACCGGTACAACATGTGAGATTACCGGTATGACATATAATGTAACCGGTACAAGATGTGAGATTACCGGTATGACGTGTAATGTTACCGTTATGACGGGTAAGATTACCGGTATGACGTGTAAGGTTCCCGTTATGACGTGTAAGGTTACCGGTATGACGTGTAAGATTACCGGTATGACCTGTAAGATTACCGGTATGACGTGTAATGTAACCGGTATGACGAGTAAGGTTACCGTTATGACGTGAAATATTGCCGGTATGGCGTGTAAGATTACCGGTATGACATATAATGTAACCGATACAACATGTGAGATTACCGGGATGACATATAATGTAACCGGTACAACATGTGAGAGTACCGGTATGACATATAATGTAACCGGAACAACATGTGAGATTACCGGTATGACATTTACTGTAACCGGTACAGCATGTGAGATTACCGGTATGACATATATTGTAACCTGTACAACATGTGAGATTACCGGTATGACGTGTAAGGTTACAGTTATGACGTGTAAGATTACCGGTATGACGTGTAATGTAACCGGTATGACGAGTAAGGTTACCGTTATGACGTGAAATATTGCCGGTATGGCGTGTAAGATTACCGGTATGACATATAATGTAACCGGTGCAACATGTGAGATTACCGGTATGACATTTACTGTAACCGGTACATCATGTGAGATTACCGGTATGACATATAATGTAACCGATACAACATGTGAGATTACCGGTATGACATTTACTGTAACCGGTACAACATGTGAGATGACCGGTATGACATATATTGTAAGCGGTACAACATGTGAGATTACCGGTATTACATATAATGTAACCGGTACAACATGTGAGAGTACCGGTATGACATATAATGTAACCGGAACAACATGTGAGATTACCGGTATGACATTTACTGTAACCGGTACAACATGTGAGATGACCGGTATGACATATATTGTAAGCGGTACAACATGTGAGATTACCGGTATTACATATAATGTAACCGGTACAACATGTGAGAGTACCGGTATGACATATAATGTAACCGGTACAACATATGAGATTACCGGTATGACATATAATGTAACCGGCACAACATGTGAGATTACCGGTATGACGTGTAAGGTTACAGTTATGACGTGTAAGATTACCGGTATGACGTGTAACGTAACCGGTACAACATGTGAGATTACGGGAATGACGTGTAAGGTTACCGTTATGACGTGTAAGATTACCGGTATGACGTGTAAGGTTCCCGTTATGACGTGTAAGGTTACCGTTATGACGTGTAAGATTACCGGTATGACGTGTAAGATTATCGGTATGACGTGTAAGATTACCGGTATGACGTGTAAGATTACCGGTATGACGTGTAATGTAACCGGTATGACGAGTAAGGTTACCGTTATGACGTGAAATATTGCCGGTATGGCGTGTAAGATTACCGGTATGACATATAATGTAACCGGTACAACATGTGAGATTACCGGTATCACGTGTAATGTTACCGTTGAGACATGTCAGGCTACATGTATGACGTGCAAGCTACCGGTATGACAGTTTGACTGTATAATATAGGTATATTTGTACCTATAACTGAAAGTCCTGATGAAATTAAACTTTAACCTAAAAACAAAAATAAATGCATCTCAGGGTATGTGGTTGCAATTCTCTGACGGAATAAATCCGAAGGACTCGTGTAATAAACCAATCTGTCAGCATTAAGTGGTTTTTGAATTTTATTTATTTAAAAAAAAAACGAAACGAAACGGAAACTTTGATGAGCCACAACCGTCATACATTGTACATACAACGGAACATTTCTTTTAAGTGGGTACGTCAAAAGTCTTTGAGAGATTCGTTCAAAAGTGAAGGACACGAGAAAGTGCAATTCAGTGCACGTGCAAAAATAAATACACTGACACTTCCGGTTCTGTGAAGAAAAAAACTGTGAAATGTGATTTAACGCGTAGAACATTTTACATATATGGGATATTATAATGCAGACATTTGAAACCTGTCAATGACAATTCAAAATGTTTACTGTGTCTTTGTCGGTAAAATGTTTTCTAATTAGTAGGAGCTTTTCGCTTGCTGTGTGTTGGTCAACAATTATCCTTTAATGCCAGATTTGATTTTGTGCTTTGTTATGGCCACCCATTTGGTGTGTTAGTCATTTTTTCTCCGTTCATACTTGTATTACATTGGAAAATTCCAGATTCAATCCATATATAAACTGTTAACGCGGAAATGTGACCCCCAATGAAAACGTATTACGGGTCACAATTTGACATTACACCGGCAATCAAGCAGAGCAATCGGGGACCGTCGGCACTTTCCATAAACGAGTTTTTGCTCGTTTACGGAAAGTGCCGACGGTGACCGATTGCAAACAGAGATATCGCAAAATGAAACTCCAGAGAACTTTACCTGCGTCAGAAAACTCCATTATGGTTCATTATTATTCCACCATATCGTATAGTGAACAAAGTACGCGATTCCTCTTGAATGTGTTGTTATGTACGCCGTCTGTGTCTCACGAAAGCTTGTCGCTTAGACAAATATGAAATGAAATAAAATAAAATGGTGAAGGAGGTCTTTTGTTAGGTGTTTGTCTGTTTTTTAGGTGTAATAACACGTTTTCAAGTAGAAATATTAATACTTACATGCGGAGATAAAACGCTGACGTAGATGTGACGTAAACTGATTATGACCCTACTGTGCTGCACGAGAAATGGTAAGCATTTACAGTCAGCCGGTTAACATCTTATTCGCCATGGCTCGCACAATGGAAACCTCTATTACTTGACTTCCTTCACTACGTACTACGCCTGAATAAACCCACGTAATATATCATTTTAATCATTTTGGTAACAGACCGACATATCGACTTGGTTTGAACTAACACCTAAATAGTCGCCGGTTAATTAGTTTAGTCATGAATACAATCATACCGAAGATAGAGGACTTATTACATTGTATGGGGTTTCCGTCCAATTGACAGACGTCTAGAACGTGCATGAAACGGACATGCACACAGATGAGTAAATCTAGCAGACATACAGATACGAAAAATCAACATAGACACAATTGCACAATTTTATTGAGTTATCGTCACACAATGTTTCTGTTGTAGGAGTAGCATGTTGTGAATGACGTACCTAAAAAGTTCTGATAATTAAATCGTGTTTCAGCAGACGATAATGATTTACCGAAATCTATGTTTTTTAAGAACAAATCAAAACCTAGCAAAACACAAGCACACACACAAAAACGAGAGTACCAATGTGTATATGGTAGGTTTGATGATGATGTCCCTGTCTGCGTATATAAAGATCAATTTGTTTGACTCTTAGAAAATGCTGAGTCAGCATCATGGAAAGAATCATCTAGCTCCTAACTGTCGTCTCAAGAATAAATTCCCCATGTGATCACTTTGGTGGAATGCACGTCTGTCCTGTTCGGAGGATTGCCCTTTCGTACTAAAGGTATCATACGCATAGTTAACGTGTACATGACCCGAGCACAGTGCAAACGACCTATCGGTGGTAACAACGCCAATATGTTTTGTATTATCAGAACCACTACAAGCCCGGCGTCCTGACTGTAAACAAGATACTGGGGAATTGTATGACCAATATATATACTATCTCTACTTTACTTTACATTAACGATTTAAATCCCCATCCCCGGGAATGTCATTTCGCAACCACAAGGGAATAGGCGTGGCAGCCTTGGTGGCCGTGCTCTTATTTGTCCTTGGAATTTTGATCGGTTTCTTCTCAACGACGACCTATGGGCCAGACTCCGGCTCATGCCCGGGTGCTGGGCTGCAGCAGCTGACGAGGGAGGCAGACCCCGGTACCACCGATACTCTCCTGACCTTTATTGATGCACAACACATGGCCAAAGTGTACAGGTATAGTTGCGAGCACGTGCTATTTTCAGGTAAAATTTAATCAATGGCAAATGCAAAATGATCTAATGATGACGCTCGGGAATTGTTGCATTTTATCAACAAAATATCGAAATTAAGTTAAGTTTATATCTAGATTTTGTTTTACTCCTATTCGTTTTAGGTATGTCCGGACGTGTTTAATTAATTCCTTAACTCTAAAATACATTGATACTCTCTCTCCAGACGTGCTGCAGTGTTCTTGACCCTCTGCGGACGACTAGTTAGTTTGTCAGATATATCACAGAGCAAGTTATTACCATGATAGTGAAACCGAGAGGTAACAAGTGAATGTACCGAACTCTTGAATGCATTTGCTGTTACAGACGATGTTCCTGATCTGGTAATTACAGGATTTGGCAATAACGGTATAGCGACACTAATGTGTAGGATAAAGCCCAATGTTTTTTGTTGTGTGGTAAACAAGAACCTTCCAAGCATGAAACAAAACATGTGTATCAAAATATTAGTTACGCAATCATGTGAAAAATATAGGTAAAGGTTCACATTCTTATCATTGACATATTCAATTGTCACACGTATAAGGATTGAAATTGAAAAACAAATATTGTTGAATACTTACATTTACACTCTAGTTATTATTGACCTTAATATATATATTCCCTTATATTTTCGATATTGAAGTGTCTGTGTCGTCAGTGCAAACGAGATTCCTGGAACAGCGTGGCGTCAGTCACATGTTATTCGAGGTGGGCGGAGAAGTTTCAAAATGGCGGTGATCAAATTGGGTTCATACATGGCCTCAGACCATGCCCATGTTAATGCTTCCGGTTCGATATACACAAATGTAGTGCATTTGCCATTTTCAGGCCCGTTTTTAAGTGAGGTTTTATATATGTCACATGATCTTTCCCCCTTTAATTAACGCGGTTCATTAATTTGTGTGAAATTTATTTTGGCGGAAGGATATGGTATGTTGTTTGGCCCCTGAGCATGAATTTCATGGTCATATCATACTACAACGGGGTCATGTTGACGTAATTAAAATTATCTTTAAAAAAAGACGGTCATGAATACTTTTCCAGCTCACCACAAATGTGTCTTGGATAGCTGAACAAAACCTATAAAGATCAGGCCTCGAGCAAACTCATATATCATTGTTTAAAGGCGTTTTCTTTGGTAAAAACATATAGGGAAATTAATTGTGGTCTGAGGCCTGAATGTAGCTTTATGAACGCATTTTCTTCTGATAATGCTTATAGTGGAACTTGGAGTGGAAATGAAAATATACGTTTATGTTTACATCTCAAACAAATCAACATGTTGTTACGGGTTTAATACCATAAAAAATGTCAGTCAACTACCGCCATGTTAAGACGGAAATAAATAACTTATAATGCGTTCGTTGATTTGCCCTTTTACAGAGTCATCGTTAATTAAAGGGAACATATGCAGCCTGGTCATGGATTGTAAGAGCGTTATGGTATATTTAGTTGTGAGTCAACTTCTTTTTAAATAGAGAGCTGACATCCAAACCGAGGCTTGCCGGAACTGACAGTCAACGGGAAAGCGCAGACTACGTGCACAATCTATTCCAAGAATACGGTCTGACGTCACAGATAGACACGTATGACGTGTTTTTGTCATACCCAATCAAAGGACACAACAACTTTGTGAGAATAGACTCTATCTCAGTGTAGTTTTCCCCTTACATGTTGAAACAGCTGTGTGCTATACACATGCATTTTCAGACAAGTTTGGACACGTAGGTGTGCTGTTATAATGTTCGAGTGAAAATATAAAGACTGTTGAATATTGTATGCGTACTTTTGTATACAAGGGCCCGACGGACATGAGCAAGACTAACACACATTCTGTTGTGGTGCAACAATTGAAGTAGCCTTGCTCAAGTCCGTTATTTAATCATGCATGGAGAACAAAGAAGAAGCGAAGTCATTGACACAACTCCATTTGAAGTGTTCTGATTTTTTTTTTTATATACAATTTCAATTAAACTTGTATGCTTTACCCCAGGCTGCTGTTATAAGCGAAAGTGGAACTATTGAGTACCGTACTCTGTCTCTAGAGGAGTTGACGCGGGATGATACTAGACATCCGGACGAAATACAGGCCTTTAATGCCTTTTCTCCAAGCGGTGACATCACAGTAAGTATTAGACCTACTTTCCATGATACTATTCCGTCTTTGCGTATTGCAGAGTTATCTTCTCTTGGGAGCAGGTATTGATTGTTACGTCAATGGTCTGTGTGAGAAAATTACGTCGTTTTCTCAAAAAATAATGACGTTTCTCTCACAAACAAGTGACGTAACAATCAATTTCTGCTCCCAAGAGAAGATAACTCTGCAATACGCAAAGACGGAATACAACAGCACGCAATGCTTGTATATATACGTGTAGCATACAATGGAATTCTGTTGGTCCGAACTTCGCGCAAAGAAAATACGGAAAGATCGTCCGAACCCTAATCGTAAATTATATAGTTTTAAACGACAATACCTCAGATTGGTTCATTTTAGTCGCCTAAATAAACGAGGTGTCACTGTATATATATTTCCTTACACGTGATGAGGTTTATAGTGTGATGAATACTCGCACATTGAGGTGCTGTGTCGGTGTAATGAACCTTCTCTCTCAAGCAGAGTAAGGGTACACCAATACTATCACGTGGTGAGGTGTATAGTGAACCCTCAAAGATATGCCGAAAAAATGATTTTCACTTCGCTAACGATCACTTCTTTAAATGTATTATATATTATGGATGACGATTTTTCTATAAAAGGCTGAGTTGGTGTACGCTAACTATGGAAGGGCAGAGGACTTTGATAAACTCTGGGAACTTGGAGTCAATTGTTCCGGTAAAATAGTAATCGTTAGGTACGGCAGAATCTTCCGGGTAAATAAGGTATGGATATTTACAATATAGACGTTTCCCGGTAGACTTATTATATTATATCGGGTTAGTCATACTTTACAATTACAATGATGAACTAGTTTAGATATTTGTAAGAGTTATCGTTCTTATGACGTATTCTCTTCCTCTTTCCATTTGATTATTTTGTTTTCTTTCTATTTATTTGTGAAAATTGTTTTCTTCTGTTTACTTCTCCTTTTTGTTTCTCATTCGTCACCATTATTACTCTTTTTTTCTTTCCTCTTTCCTTCTATCCATTAAACCATCTATCCTTCTTCTCTCATGCACATCCTCCCCTCCCTCATTCCTTCCATCCTTCCACCCTTTCTTCCTTCCACCCTAACCTCTCTAGGTTCTGTTTGCCCATCAAGCTGGGTGTGTCGGAGTGATACTGTATTCGGACCCTGCCGACTACGGTCCACCGCCATCTTCCTCCACTTCCGGTATGGCTGACACCTAGCCTGACACATGATGGCTTCCGGACACTGGGATGCAAAGGGGCAATATCATATTGACCAAAGGTGACCAGGCGACACCAGGATATCCAGCCCTATGTAAGATTAATAAAAGCTATTACCTGTTACAGGTAAAAAACAATCCTCGCACCTTTTAGTTTCGAAAAAAGGTATACCGTCTGTGGCCTGAAATAAATATGGCCTCTACATTACTAAAGCTACATTTGAAAACTTCCACGTTTAAATGTAGTTCGTCCTTACAAAGCGTAGATTATGTTTTGTCTACAAAATCAGATATCAAACAACATCAAAACAATGCATATCCCGACAAAACAGAATAATTATAATGCAGATTGTCGATTTCAAGCCATTAACGCGCGAATGATTACATCGATGTTTAAAAATTCTGCGAAATGTCACGTAAAGGTACCTGCCAGATCGGACGAGATAGAAAAATCTAGCACGGGGTTTGACGTTGGGGCATCTCTGTCTGTTGTGTGACGCACTATACTTTATGTTGCAAGTCAGACACAAAAAGCGACCAAATTTATTCTGCATGAGGCGTCCCTCTGTGTGCAGACATATCTGTCTACGTTGATTCTCATGGTCTAATAAAATAAGAAAACATATGTTTCATCCAGTAAATCATATCTTACATACGTTATCGAAAAGGACTAGGGGCGTGAAGGGTCATTTCCGGCCTCATCGAGGATTTTGAATTAGTTGTTATATTCGTAATCTCGAATAAAGGAAGTATTGAAATATCAAATATCAATTAAATTCATTCGATAACTGGTTTAGGAGATATGGCATTACAAAGAGAGACATAAACCCGCATTTTCATAATAAAATGCGTGAATATCGTCTGGTGTGCGCTATTTGGTTGAAAACTAACCATTTTGAAGGAAATATAAAATAAACACTTTATGATTTTTGAAAGCCTCTGCATGCAACAAACAAAATAAAATTTGAAATGCTTAAACATTGTCAAACCAGTGTTCATTCGTAGAAAGGATTTTTTGTTTGTCGCGTGCGCAGGCCTTCATTTCTGCATGTTAACAGTCCAAAACACCATATTTCGTCTATTTCTGCATAGCAACGCAGTTGTGTTGCTATGGTAGGGTATATACGCATGCGCATTGGGGGGAAATGTGCACCTAGAAAGATAGACCCAATTTACCAATATGATGTTTATAACAGAAATTGGTAAATAAATTCAAGCTGAAGTTTTTACTTTTTCTGAGGCCAAAAATGACCCATAACGCCCGAAGTCCTTTGATGGCGTGAACATAATAATTTTAATGACAAACTTAAGTTATTTTAAATACGGGTTGTTAATTTGTTTCAGCGCACGAATAATATATCGCCGTGCAAGTTTTTGTGACTTATTTCACGTTAAGGTGCGAAGCAGATCTAGATCGGACGAGGTAAAAATGTATCAAGCACGGGGTATCAAGTGGGATATCTTTGCTTGGTTTGCAGGAGTAATCGATTCTATCACTCGTGCGATTTTTAATTTAATTTTATTCTGCAACGTTTGACACGTTATGTCCAGAGGTAGCAGTATACAGTAGAGGGTTAACATTGTGGCCATGGGTGATATTTTTGTTAAATGGCTAACCCCTGTATAATGATATGTAAAACAATTATAAAAAATAAAACTGTACAAAAGATTTTTTTGGTTCGATAATAAAATTTTGGCCATAATCCGAAAGGGTTATGAAAGTTTACAGGAGGTAAAATTTTGACAACAGCACACCACGCAAAATTACAAAAAATCAAGTTTTACAACTTTACTGGGACCCAGATAATTCTGCAACGAGGTAGGTAATCTTTAATTTCAGACAGAACTTAGGGGAAAAAAAATACTAGTTGGGGGGTCAAATTTTGGGTAAAAAATAACAATTTTTGGTATTTTTTGGTAATTTTTGATGTGGTAACCATGGTTTTCACACTAGTGACATACATAGAAAAAAGAGGTCTATACACTTGTATACATGTGTTGTGTAGGGTAAATCCGCTGTGTTTACGTTTCCTCGACATGTGCTTTGTTTATCAGAGTCGGGCCATTTCTACTGTACACTGCTACCATAGCACGAGGTGTTGCTACCACACACACAAAAGGTTTACGCTTTAGATTCACACAGATCACATTGTCTTTCATTAAAGGGTACACACAAAGACTGTCGGACGAGGAAGTGGAGAGGAAACTTCCTAGTATTCCATGTCATCCAATTGGATATCGAGATGCATACAATATCTTAAGGTAAATTGGTTTTTGTTTTGTAGTTTTCTTTCAAGATATAACACTTTTGCATACTGTTTTATCATTGAGGGATTGCAAGGAATGTAAATTATTTTCATGAAAAAATATAGTTATATCAGTATCTTCACAAGGACCCTGCAACGTGCAGTAAAAACACAAATTCTTCAATACAATGATAACACCATTTAAAACAGTCTACCACGTCGATTTTCATTGGTGAGTAACCATGTATATTTGGAAAATACTCCAAGCGCGTGCATTTACTATTTTGCAACAAATCTTGCACGTGCAATACTTGTACAACCCCTCTCCCCCACACTTTTATATTACAAGTGTAATATTCGCTGATTACCTTTACACAAAAGTTCCTCACTCTCGTTATATACACCTACAGTATGTTGAATATTTCTTAAATATTAAATAATACACATATTACATAAACTTTATCATAAATATTACACAGACAGTACAGTACAATAACACGAACTCCATATTGATAACACCTACTATACATAAAATGTTATATTTCTTTTTTCCTGTAACCAGGGAGATGGAAGCAGAGGAGGTTTTACCGGAATGGCGAGGGAATCTTAACATCACGTACAGGGTCGGCCCAACGTTACGGAATAACAGGTGTGTACACGTGTATCAACATCCTGGCACATGTGGATTTTTTTTTATAAAAACTGTATACATATGGGATTTAAATTTGGTTTTGGTACCTGCCTATGAAGAAGAGAGGGTATATATACAGATCGGACGAGATAGAATAATCTAGCACGAGGTATGACGTGGGACATCTCTGGGGTGCGACGCACTATACTTTATGTTGCCTTTTGAACACAAAAAGCGCCTTGTTTGTGCGTCTATCAATTTGTTTGCATCCTGTGCACAAGTTATCCCAACACTCGGTGGAGTGCGTTCGAGTGAGAAAAAATTGTTAGGGTCGGAGGTAAAGACAAGGGTAGGACTGGCTATTATATTACATATCATAATATATGTCTCTGCTGAAACATACAAAAATCGTTTTTGGCCCAAAAGGTATATATGGTCTATTGTCCTGCGAACACAATACACTGTATGTACAACAAAGTGCTACTGCACTTCATATCGGCATGACAATGGGAAAATATGTACGCAATTCTTGGTATTTTTTTCTATTTTCAGGAAAATCAGACTTGTGGTCGAAAATGAGAATCGAACAGTTCCAATACACAATGTTATCGGCAAGATCACTGGTGCTATTGAACCAGGTACAGCACGTTATGAAAAGGGGTTTATTAAAAATCACTTCATTTTTGTAAGGTTTCATTATTCATGAGGATTTCTTTAAAATGGTTTTAATAAATACTTTTATAATATTCTATCAACTGCTTATGACTTAACACTTTTGTGGCATTTTGGCGATTAAAATCTATTTTACCTAACGGAACAGGCAACCTGAAATATGTCTAAATCAGTCATGCTTGGGAAATATCGTCATTTGGAATAAAGATCATATTACACGGTTAAAATTTAAATATTCCAATAGTTGATAAAGGTTTTTAAAATGGAATTGAACTCAATCTCAGAATTTCCGGATCAAATTTGGGGTTAGATTTTGACATATCTGTATTTTTAGACCGCTACGTCATATTTGGTAACCATAGAGACGCTTGGGTCTATGGAGGAACCGACCCAGCTTCCGGTGGGACCGTTCTTATGGAAATAGCCCGGATATTTGGAAAACTACTAGAAACAGGTATGTTTGCATGATTTAGGAAGCGTAATTGCTTATACGTCTATTCATTTAATTTCACAGTTAGACAGAATTGTTTTATTGATCAATAAGTTCGTTTCTTTTGTCGGTGTTTTTTAATTTTACAGTAGCTAAATCAGTGCGAGATGTTTTCCTCTAGTGATTGGACTACGTACACTATTAAATTAGACATTACGTGATAACCTGTTTATCATCTATATACTACTACTTTATATAATTATTCTCCATTCATAAATAGCCAAGTAATTACCGTGTCTTCCAAATTACTTCTAGGCTCAATGAACATCGAGATCCTTGGTCTGTGACAAACGTAAACAAATTGATTTCCGCGGAGGAATACCATGAAGCTTTGAACTATGTAGACAGATTTTTTTAAACAATATTATCGTCATCGACTTCTCCATATGCATATTTACGCTTAAAATGATGTTATGATCCTTTTAATTGTTTTTTTTTATAACATTATAATGATTTGTTTATCACGGACTATTTTCTTACGCGGATCGCCTTTCCTTGGTTACTATTTCCGGTTCATGAATTATAGATTATCACACTGTATTTTTTACATCGCGAGCACGTGAGCTTTAATCTACGTGCGAGCGACATTTTATCTTGTCACGTGTGACTTCCTGTTTTTCACGGGCAAATTTTGAAAAAAAAAAATCAATCAATGGAGGCAGCAGGCATATTGTTTTCTCTTCATTTCATAAACTGTATCTATTTTACAGCAATAGTCAAACGAATTTTTTCGACTTATATTAATAACTTTTGCTGGCCCGGATGGAAGCGCAAAATGGGTCTTAATGAGAGCAGATATGGTACCCGAAGAAAACCTACCTACTTTTACATGTTTTATCAAGAAGTCGAACCCTGGTCGTCTTGAAATAAAAAACGAATGCGCTATCCACTGCGCCTCCCGACCAACCTTTACTTTCTACTTGGGACTTGCCACATCATTATATCATTATAAGAGTATATGACCGTGACAGACTGTGACTAAGACAACACATCTGTTTTTGACCCGTCAATTCGAATAATTATCTTCAAACTGTTTTGTAGGTTGGCGACCAAGAAGAACTATCTTGTTTTGTAGCTGGGACGCAGAAGAATATGGACTGGTCGGTTCTTACGAATGGGTGGAGGTTAGACCAAATTATCATCTAATTCTTTACATCATATCATCTACTCCTTACCCCTACAGATGCGTGTATGAATTTGGTGCACTCACTTTTGACCCTGCTCTTTGACACTAACTAGTCGTCTGCAGATGGCCAAGAAAAATGCAGTTCGAAACAGAAAACACATCACACCAGGTGTATTCATTGCATTAGTTACCTGTGAGATACAGAATGGAATACAAAATTTTGGTGTTCACATCCTGCAGTAGCTTGTCACCTTTTCCAACCGTCATTTTCACTATTGTTGGAGACACAACGCTTGTAAATTTCATACTGTGACTTTGAAAACCGGTGTTTCGGAAAAGTGATATCCTCTTTGTGAAATATTTTAATATCTGCTATCAAATTAAAGAAGGATATTGAAATTCTTCAATAACATTGATACATCAGTTTGGAAATATGTAATATCAAAGTTTTACTTTATACACGAACAATGTTCGTATTGAACGTGTCGTAACATTTCAACTGACTGGTCCCTTTGTCAAGCTAAGACTCCATGAAATGTTAATTAGAGAAATCATGCTTTGCTTATTTCAGGAAAATCTAAAATGGCTGACATCAAACGCTGTGGCCTACCTCAATATCGATTCTGCTGTATCTGGTGAGTTCACTTTGATCGGGATATCGGTGATGTTGTAACGTTGAATCATTCCTTATATGGCAGTGTGTATCGTGTTTTATCAGCAGATTCGGCAGTGTTCGGCAAGTTCCGGACGACGCAATAATCAGCATTTTTATACAACATCCGTTTAAGATTGATATCCATCGCTAAAACAGTATAATATTTCGCATAGAAGAGTGGTTCTGCCTTTTTTCAAAATGGTTATTAATATTGATTGATTGATTGTTGGTATTTGTTTTCGTATAACGTCACTGTACCCAAATCGGGACACTTTTTAGATAAATATCAATGTTCTTTATACCAAACTATCAGTTCCAAAAATATTTGTTCATTTTTCATAAATAGATACTATCCACTTTTCATTTCTGTTACAAGTTGATATTTCGGGCGCGTGGTTCTATAAATAAAACGCGAAATACCATCAGAGTTACGTAGGCCCTTGAACCCCTGAAAGGGACACTTCGGTATTTTGGCCTATATAAGACATATTTCAAATATGTTAGAGTCAAACAGGGTTATGATTAAATTTCTTCTCCAAACTATCATTAGTTTTGATAAAATAGACGTTTGAAAATAATATCCAAATAAACAGCGTATGATTTGTTATGGTCATTATTCTCACCTTTAAATTGTCCATGTCACGATAATCAGCAGCCAATAAAGCTTACATACAGTTAAATTGTCATGAACGTAATATCAAATGAAAACTGTACACATAAAAGTACTTCTTTGCATTGAATGACAGTTTCTTGGGCCGTTTTCCCATAAGTGTCCCGTTTAAGGTACTGTCCCGACTTGCCGTTTTCCCAGAAGTGTCCCGTTTAAGGTACTGTCCCGACTTGGGTACAGTGACGGTATATTTGCATAAATGTTTTTTGAACTATATCTGACCGTTGGGAAATTGGCTCATTTTGACAGGTAACAAGTCTCTATTGCTTCAGACAGTCCCCCTGTTACAGCAAGTCTTCTTTGACGCTACCAAACAGGTAAACAATGTTTCCCTAGCTGTTGTTTAATGTATATTCCACTTAACATTATCATACCACACGTCACTTCCGGTATGGACACCTTGTGTATCCCTCTGCATATTCGACTTGTGTAGAGCCACAGCATAGCGGTAAGATTGACTGGCATTAAAGTCGGATGTCGCTCGTAAGTTATATTCAGACGACAAGTATCAACCAAGCGATTGGTCAGGTTTCCATACCGGAAACCAATCAAATAGCCTATTTTGATCGTTCGATTTTGTAATGACACACTCCATGGGTGTAAGAGAATGTACCCCGGGGGCGCCAGGCATTTTGACGACGTCACAACACTTGTTTATGCCATACGTTGCCATTGGACACAGTCTTAATTTTGTGAAACATTTATCTTAGTTGAATTAGTCTGTAGAAGAATTCTTACCCTATACCACATGTTTTTTTACTTCTTTAGGTACCAGACCCTCACGTTTCCGGTCAGTCCGCTTATGATGTGTGGCGAGGACAGTTGGACAAACCAAGGTATATTTTCAACCATTTCTGTGTAATTTCACTTTTTGACGATTTCATATGCAGTAACTCGATGAATTTGTTCCATATTCCATAACTTTGCGCTATTAATTTAGAAATAAGTAAATATAGGTGTTATCAATAACTTAACTGTTGTTATCAATAATTTAACTGGTGTTATCAATAACTTTACTGGTGTTATCAATAACATAATTGGTATTATCAATAGCTTTACTGGTGTTATCAATAACTTAACTGGTGTTATCAATAGCTTTACTGGTGTTATCAATAGCTTTTCTAGTGTTATCATTAATTTAACTGGTGTTATCAATAGCTATACTGGTGTTATCAATAACTTAACTGGTATTATCAATAACTTAACTAGTATTATCAATGACTTAACTGGTGTTATCAATAACTTAACTGGTATTATCAATAACTTAACTAGTATTATCAATAACTTGACTGGTTTTATCAATAGCTTTACTGGTGTAATCAATAACTTAACTGGTGTTATCAATAGCTATACTGGTGTTATCAATAACGTAACTGGTGTTATCAATAGCTATACTGGTGTTATCAATAACTTAACTGGTATTATCAATAACTTAACTGGTGTTATCAATAACTTAACTGGTGTTATCAATAGCTTTACTGGTGTTATCAAAAATTTAACTGGTGTTATCAATAGCTATACTGGTGTTATCAATAGCTTAACTGGTATTATCAATAACTTAACTAGTATTATCAATAATTATACTGGTGTTATCAATAACTTAACTGGTGTTATCAATAGCTTTACTTGTGTTATCAATAACTTAACTGGTGTTATCAATAACTTAACTGGTGTTATCAACAACTTTACTTGTGTTATCAAGAATTTAACTGGTGTTATCAGTAGCTATACTGGTGTTATCAATAACTTAACTGGTATTATCAATAACTTAATTAGTATTATCAATAACTTAACTGGTGTTATCAATAGCTTTACTAGTGTTATCAATAACTTAACTGGTGTTATCAATAGCTTTACTGGTGTTATCAATAACTTAACTGGTATTATCAATAACTTAACTGGTGTTATCAATAACTTAACTGGTGTTATCAATAGCTTTACTGGTGCAATCAATCACATAACTGGTGTTATCAATAACTAAACTTGTGTTATCAATATCTTAACTGCTGTTATCAATAACTTAACTGATGTCATCAATAACTTAACCATAAGTATGTATCTTCATGTCATTTCTCTCTTACAGAACAGAAAGAGTCGGTTCCGGAAGTGACCACACGCCTTTCGTAGCCAATGCCGGAGTTCCGTCATTTTATGCGACTTTTGCTTCTGCGGTTAGAATGAAGCTCTTACATTTTAATAACCATCGCATGTTCTCTTGTATTTGATTTTACACGTGGTGTCGGAGAAGATGTAAGGTGGACAGATAAATCGCTGAACTATCACGCAATATTGATTTGGTGTTTGAGGTGGAAAGGGGGTTGTGAATTTGACCCATTCGGTATATACAAAATGTATGTAAGGTTTTCCATATTACTACATGTTAAAGCATACGCAATTTTTATTTTGTTCTGTTGACTTTTATCATAAAAGGAATGTAATACCGGCACAATATTGTTTATGCAATCTGTATGTGATATCCCATATCGGGTGTTTTTTCACTCTGTAATTAAAACGTTTGACTTTATTTAAAGGTTAATGTTTAACATAAAAATAACGTCAATGTTAACATTCAAATGTTAAGAGCCATAAATATTTTGTTCGAAAACTTATATACCGGAAGTAGATAATTCGTCATCATTATTTGCCCGTTTGTAACAGAACAACTAACTCTGTTAGCGGTTACTGACATCACGTAATCAATCTGTCCCCTTTCTATAACAGGATGATTGGAATTCGTCCATTACGCCACTGTATCACACCAGATACGAAACTACCAATACGTTATTGACGATAGACCCCGGATATAAAATTTCCGGTGCCATGGCGGGAATTCTCGCAGAGACGGGCAGACGACTCACAGATTCACTTGTACTTCCGCTTGGAGTAAGGGACTACGCTGAGGATTTGAGGGCGTCTGTGGATTCGTTAAACTTTTCCGTATCTGGAATCGTCGAAGAGAAATATATAAGTACGTTACGAGGTACAAATCAGAGGAAGCGAAGTTAGAGATGTGTCATCCTCATAGAATTATCTCCCTTTAGACGACAAGTTTAAATAAGACATTTGTATTTCCACTCTATGATATCGAATAGGTTGTTCTGGATCTAAGCTGATACTTGCTATCCCTGAAAACAAAACAAAAACATGTTGTGTGTTAAAATGTTCAGATGAAGTAATTGAAAAGGGGGTATTCGGAATAATGGTTTTATGTTGATGGGCAGTAAATTACTGTTAAAATTTCTAAAATACTTAAAAAGGCGTCTTTCTTGTAATAGTTTTGCTAACCCAACCTATTTTAAGGTAAAGAAAAAAGAGGAACATTAATTCTGTCTATGGATGTTTGATATCAGAGGAACGGTTTACAATAAAATACGAAAAATAAACGATTCGGAAATAATTTCTAGCTGATGTGTTTAACCGGGTTTTACGAAATTGTTCATCTATATTTTAGACTAATTTCCATTGGAGACCTATAGATCTAAAATCAATAATTACTGTTCCATACGTCACAACTGCAAGAAACTAGATTGCTACCCTAAGCTTTATCAACAAACAACCAATCAAACATCGTAATTTTTTTAGGTGTTATGACGTCATTAAATATTTGGTTTTGTACAATTTAAAATGTAGTTATTTCAATGTTAAAATGAATTTTGCCTATCGATCTCGGATATTCCCTGAGATTTTATAAGCTTGTTTCCGGACAGTAGTACCTCCGGTAATACCAGTGAGTCACCACACTCACTGATTCATTTATAATACCCTGAATATGAGATTTCACGATATAATCTGGAGAGTTTTGATGATATGCCCGTTTGTTTCAGAGGGTGTTCTGAAGGGAACTGAAGCCCTGTTCGAGGCTGTTGACAAGTTTGAGAAAGAAAAAGAAAACCTCGACCTACAGAAGTATGATCTCTGTCTCATAGTTTTGTTTCGTGTTGGTTTAGCTCTCATTGTTAGGAAGCCAGAATAATCAATTAATCGTTTTTCTACTCGACAGTGCCAACTTTTATTTTGTGACGTTTTTATGGACTAATATTGGGGTTGCCAATTCAAACAATGAAGTTGGCTACATTGAATTCATATTCTGCCAATCCGTCACCTAACTTGAGCATTTTTTCAAAGTACATTATCATCTTTTCACCGACTGCCTACTGAAATGCAGCTTCTGAAACGGTGACTGATGGATATGTGTTGTTAGGACCCTGACAGACCCAAATATGTTATCTAATGAGATATGCAGAGACAACAAATTTGAGTGTGTTAGATTCGAAGTGAGACGTATACAAAAAGAACCTTGTAAATCTAACAGCCACGCTCTGATGGCCCTGGTCATCCCCTTGGTAGAATAATTTGACCAGATATTATTTGATTGATTATTTGATTTATTGAGTGACTATTTGGTTGATTTATTGATTGATTGATTGATTGATTGATTGATTATTTGAGTGATTATTGATTGATTGATTAATTATTATTGGATGGATTAATTGAAATATTGATAGATAGATTGATTGATTATTTGATTGATTGATTAATTGATACAATTGAGTGATTATTTGGTTGACTGATTGATTGATTCAAATATTGATAGATAGATTGATTATTTGATGAATTAATCGGGATAATACATCTTCAAAACCGGTAAGGTCACGTGGCAAAAGTGGCCACAGTTTATGGGGTGAAGGACAATTTTGAAATATCTTTCTTTGCTGAACTATCCTAACATGGACACGTAACAGTGGTCTCATCAGCAGTGGACACCGATTCATATGACCAAGTATTTGTTGAGATGATGCAAAAGTCTGAACAAGCAAGCAAACAAACACGCAAACATAGCACATAAACTGGTCTCCCTATTCCGTACAAATAATTCCCTTTAATATATAAAGCGGTAAAAATGTAATCAAAATGTAATCAAAAGACCATTACAAGATATTGAAATATTATGATTGCTAATCTGGAAAATTCTATTCCATTTTTCACCAAAGCTGCTTGTTAGCATATATACTGGGTTATTTTTTTTATTTTTTGCAATATGTTGAAGATCCAATACAGTGAAAAGGAGAACATTGTCAGTCATCCTGAATTTGAGATGTACATAGAACGTGACTAATAACGTGCTCGAGTGAATTTAGTTCTGTGAAACAAGATGTATGTTTCTAGATCCAAATGAGGTTGAAATTAATTGTATGGAATGCACCATAATATATAAAGACGATGCGGTAGACTTTCCAAGGTAACAGCAGCCAGTACCTATGTCGGTTTACGTATAAATATTTTCGTTTATTCTAGTCCTCTGGCGATAAGGAATCTCAACGACAAAATGATGGCCTTAGAGGGGGCGTTTCTCGATGTAAATGGGATTCCGTACCGTCAACATTACAAGTAAGTTGTATGCTACAGACGATGTTGGTGCATGTACCTACACAATGTATACCATTATAGTATGACTAACTTCAGTCACAAACGATGTACCGTACTCTCAACATTACAAAGTATTTGTGTCACAAACGATGTTATGTTCCGTCAACATTACAAGTAGATTGTAAGTCGTGTGTCACGACCTTTGTTCAGTGAATCCGTATCGCCAACACTACAAAAAGTATGTGTGTCACCAAAAATATGTGTTCCGTGACGTCAGCAATTCATGTTAGTCGTGTGTTACAAACTGTACCATACCTACGACATTACAAATAGTTCGTGTGTCACAAACTGCGTCCCGTACCGTCAACAAGTAAGTTGTATGCTACAAACGACGTTGGTGGATGTACCGTACTCTCAACATTACAAAGTATTTGTGTCACAAACGATGTTATGTTCCATACATTGTAAGCCGTGTGTCACGACCTTTGTTCAGTGAATCCGTATCGCCAACACTACAAAAAAGTATGTGTATCACCAAATATTTACCATCGTATGGCAGTGTCACTATATAACCCTACCAAATTCAGTTGGCATTCATATAGGGTATGAATGCCATGGACCGATTGTTTACGTCATCATTATTATGACGTCATAATTGTTACGTTGGATACCACTGAACCTCCCTGGGCGATGGCTGTTCTATTCATTGAACAAGCATGTGTACCAATTCTACGACATTACAATTAGTTCGGTTGTTACAAATTACGATCTGTACCGTCAACATTACAAATAGTCCGTGTGTCACAAATTGCGTTCTGTACCGTCAACATTACAAATAGCCCGTGTGTCACAAACTGCGTTCCGTACCGTCAACATTACAAATAGTTCGTGTGTCACAAATTGCGTTCCGTACCGTCCACATTATAAATAATTCGTGTGTCACAAATTGCGTTCCGTACCGTCCACATTATAAATAATTCGTGTGTCACAAATTGCGTTCCGTACCGTCCACATTATAAATAATTCGTGTGTCACAAATTGCGTTCCGTACCGTACACATTACAAATAATTCGTGTGTCACAAATTGCGTTACGTACCGTCAACATTACAAATAGTTCGTGTGTAACAAATTGCGTTCTGTACCGTCAACATTACAAATAGCCCGTGTGTCACAAACTGCGTTCCGTGCCGTCAACATTACAAATAGTTCGTGTGTCACAAATTGCGTTCCGTACCGTAAACATTACAAATAGTTCGTGTGTCACAAATGACGTTCTGTACCGTCAACATTACAAATAGTCTGTGTGTCACAGATTGCGTTCTATATCTTCAACATTACAAATAGTCTGTGTGTCCCAAATTGCGTTCTATATCGTCAACATTACAAATAGTCCGTGTGTCACAAATTACGTTCTGTACCGTCAACATTACAAAGAGTCTGTGTGTCACAAATTGCGTTCTATATCGTCAACATTACAAATAATTAGTGTGTCACAAATTGCGTTCCGTACCGTACACATTACAAATAGTCCGTGTGTCGCAAACTGCGTTCTGTACCGTCAACATTACAAATAATTCTTGTGTCACAATCTGAGTTCCGTACCGTCAACATTCCAAATAGTCCGTGTGTCACAAATTGCGTTCTGTCCCGTCAACATTACAAATAGCCCGTGTGTCACAAACTGCGTTCCGTGCCGTCAACATTACAAATAGTTCGTGTGTCACAAATTGCGATCCGTACCGTACACATTACAAATAGTCCGTGTGTCGCAAACTGCGTTCTGTACCGTCAACATTACAAATAATTCTTGTGTCACAATCTGAGTTCCGTACCGTCAACATTCCAAATAGTCCGTGTGTCACAAATTGCGTTCTGTCCCGTCAACATTACAAATAGCCCGTGTGTCACAAACTGCGTTCCGTGCCGTCAACATTACAAATAGTTCGTGTGTCACAAATTGCGTTCCGTACCGTCCACATTATAAATAATTCGTGTGTCACAAATTGCGTTCCGGACCGTCAACATTACAAATAGTTCGTGTGTCACAAATTGCGTTCCGTACCGTACACATTACAAATAGTCCGTGTGTCGCAAACTGCGTTCTGTACCGTCAACATTACAAATAATTCTTGTGTCACAATCTGAGTTCCGTACCGTCAACATTACAAATAGTCCGTGTGTCACAAATTGCGATCCGTACCGTGTACACATTACAAATAGTCCGTGTGTCACAAATTGCGTTACGGACCGTACACATTACAAATAGTCCGTGTGTCACAAATTGTGTTCCGTACCGTACACATTACAAATAGTCCGTGTGTCACAAATTGCGTTCCGTACCGTACACATTACAAATGGTTTAAGTCGGAATCGATGTTCGGTTTAGATGCTTCAAGATTACAGTATCACAAACGTCAATATTACAAGTAATCTGTGTGTCACAACTGATTACCCGTATTGTTAATGTTCACATAGAGGAAAGCAGTGCAAACATCTAGCACTTAATTCTGTTTTCCCATTAGATCATAAACATGGATATGTAGGCGCGACATTTAAAGGAAAGACACAATGCTTTAGGTTCCATCAAAGAGATTTGAAAATCGCATTAACAAATGTGATGAAATAAATAAAATATAATCTAGCTGATTTTAATTGGTTTGAACTCGATGATTTATCTACCCTTTAATGAAAAATGCTCCTCGCCCGAATAATTGATTTACCACTTAAAAGTCCATTTATTGTAACTTTGTGTTCTGACTGACTAGTCCGTTTTAATAGTCCAAACAAATCGCAGTATAGTGATTACATGTCTTAATGGTAGTATACGCTGCTCATTCGCTTATAACGGAACTGTAAAAGGTGTTAATAAATGTATAAATTGTTTTTTTTTACATCAGGTAAACGTACATTCGGAAACCTTAAAACTTAAAGTAGACAAGTTCTATAAAAAAATGTTTGAAACTCTGCTGCTACAACTTCTCTGGTTGGGATTTCGTACGGTATCAAAAAGGCAATGATATTAATTCAAATTGTAAAAAGACAAGAGGTTTACTTTTTATTTATTTTTTATTTTTAACAATTTGAAAATTAATTAACTCGAGTAAGATCAACTAATAGAATCTATCGCTACTGGTTGTGTAAGATAGAGAAATCTCAACCCGAGGACTAAGATTTTTTGTCCAGAACGAGGCTTGCCGAGTTCTGGACAAAAAATCTTAGTCCGAGGGTTGAGATTTCTCTATCTTACACAACCAATAGCGATTGATTATTTTTCTCCCATATCTAACAGTATATTAATTTGAAATAAAGGTAAACATGGACCCAAAACACATACAGGCAATTTGTTGATGGATTGTTGACGTGACGTCATTGTATTGTTGAAGTGACGTCATGCCATTGTTATGAATAGGGGAATCCCCCTGTCTCAACCCTAGGGCAGAGACAGATAAATCTAGCACCGGCAAAACGGGTGATAAATCTGTCAGGTGTGGGAGAAATAATAATCAACCATCTCGAGTTTGGGGACATTTTTTCTCCAACAATGTTCGACGATTATTGTATATGTACTATGACGTCACAATCGAAGATGACGTTGCAAAGTATTGTCACTTGAAATCCTAATCAGAAGATTGACTAATGAAATCACGTACAGGGTGTTTCCCGCTAGTTTGACACCAAAATAGTTTACATCCTCTTAGCAAGTTCATTCAATAATTGGGAGTGGGGAAACCGATTGTGGTTGTGGAAGATTAGTGGTTCTGTTACCTTCGACAAGCGTTAAGGGGACATAACCGAGAATTTCGTGTCAGCAGGCTGGATACATTTTAACAATACCAAAATCGAAGTGAATATATCTTTAAATATACATTCTTTGTCTACATTATTTTGCATAAAACTTCCGCAATGTATGGTTTTCAAAAATGATTTATTAAAGATATAGTCATGCCGAAAAAACTTATGCGTAGTTTCATTTTTAGCAGTAATACGGGGATCCTTATCACAAAAATATTATAACAACTTTTTCTTTTTCAAATGAAAGTGAAGATTACCATTAAAACCAATTTTAAGTATTTGTAGAACTCTTTTAGTGAAAGAGATTTAGGTTACAGCTAACTAGCATTGATTCTTAAGGTCAGAAAAACATGGACGAAACAACGACCTCAGTGCTGGTCTGATTGCTTCATATATTTTTTTTTATTAGAAACCGCTTTGTCGTTTCGTTGGTTTTCAACTAGCTATATTGATTGTATATTAATAGAAATTGATAGGAAACCTTATGAATAATTTAGGTTTGCTATAACGCCTCCTAATGGGAATTAATAGCTTGTTTAATGATACCGATAGCGTAGTCAGGTTTGAATACAGCTCAGAATGAATAATTAAGGTATCTCAATAACGGGCTTTAGGTGAAGACCGTCATACCAACAAGCCTGACACACCTGTTATTGACGGGATGTCAGTGTATCAACCTCACTAAACAAACCAACAACACCAGTTCACCTTTTACTGACGAAATATTTCTGTATAAACGTCACTAAATGGTCCCACAATACCAGCGCACCTTTAACTGACTGGATATCTCTTTATCTACTACACTGACTACAATAACACATACCTCTTACTGACGGGATATCTATCACCGTGGTACACAAACTGACTACACTAACACACATCTCTAACTGACGGGATATATATCACCGTGGTACACAAACTGACTTCACTAACACATCTCTAACTGACGGGATATATATCACCGTGGTACACAAACTGACTTCACTAACACATCTCTAACTGACGGGATATCTATCAACGTGGTACACAAACTGACTACACTAACACACCTCTAACTGACGGGATATCTATCACCGTGGTACACAAACTGACTACACTAACACACATCTCTAACTGACGGGATATATATCACCGTGGTACACAAACTGACTTCACTAACACATCTCTAACTGACGGGATATATATCACCGTGGTACACAAACTGACTTCACTAACACATCTCTAACTGACGGGATATCTATCAACGTGGTACACAAACTGACTACACTAACACACCTCTAACTGACGGGATATCTATCACCGTGGTACACAAACTGACTACACTAACACACATCTCTAACTGACGGGATATATATCACCGTGGTACACAAACTGACTTCACTAACACATCTCTAACTGACGGGATATATATCACCGTGGTACACAAACTGACTTCACTAACACATCTCTAACTGACGGGATATCTATCAACGTGGTACACAAACTGACTACACTAACACACCTCTAACTGACGGGATATCTATCACCGTGGTACACAAACTGACTACACTAACACACATCTCTAACTGACGGGATATATATCACCGTGGTACACAAACTGACTTCACTAACACATCTCTAACTGACGGGATATATATCACCGTGGTACACAAACTGACTTCACTAACACATCTCTAACTGACGGGATATCTATCAACGTGGTACACAAACTGACTACACTAACACACCTCTAACTGACGGGATATCTATCACCGTGGTACACAAACTGACTACACTAACACACATCTCTAACTGACGGGATATATATCACCGTGGTACACAAACTGACTTCACTAACACATCTCTAACTGACGGGATATATATCACCGTGGTACACAAACTGACTTCACTAACACATCTCTAACTGACGGGATATCTATCAACGTGGTACACAAACTGACTACACTAACACACCTCTAACTGACGGGATATCTATCACCGTGGTACACAAACTGACTACACTAACACACATCTCTAACTGACGGGATATATATCACCGTGGTACACAAACTGACTTCACTAACACATCTCTAACTGACGGGATATATATCACCGTGGTACACAAACTGACTTCACTAACACATCTCTAACTGACGGGATATCTATCAACGTGGTACACAAACTGACTACACTAACACACCTCTAACTGACGGGATATCTATCACCGTGGTACACAAACTGACTACACTAACACACATCTCTAACTGACGGGATATATATCACCGTGGTACACAAACTGACTTCACTAACACATCTCTAACTGACGGGATATATATCACCGTGGTACACAAACTGACTTCACTAACACATCTCTAACTGACGGGATATCTATCAACGTGGTACACAAACTGACTACACTAACACACCTCTAACTGACGGGATATCTATCACCGTGGTACACAAACTGACTACACTAACACACATCTCTAACTGACGGGATATATATCACCGTGGTACACAAACTGACTTCACTAACACATCTCTAACTGACGGGATATATATCACCGTGGTACACAAACTGACTTCACTAACACATCTCTAACTGACGGGATATCTATCAACGTGGTACACAAACTGACTACACTAACACACCTCTAACTGACGGGATATCTATCACCGTGGTACACAAACTGACTACACTAACACACATCTCTAACTGACGGGATATATATCACCGTGGTACACAAACTGACTTCACTAACACATCTCTAACTGACGGGATATATATCACCGTGGTACACAAACTGACTTCACTAACACATCTCTAACTGACGGGATATCTATCAACGTGGTACACAAACTGACTACACTAACACACCTCTAACTGACGGGATATCTATCACCGTGGTACACAAACTGACTACACTAACACACATCTCTAACTGACGGGATATATATCACCGTGGTACACAAACTGACTACACTAACACACATCTCTAACTGACGGGATATCTATCAACGTGGTACACAAACTGACTACATAGCACACCTCCAACTGACGGGATATCTATCACCGTGGTTCACAAACTGACTTCACTAACACACCTCTAACTGACGGGATATATATTACCGTGGTACACAAGCTGACTACACTAACACACTTCTAACTGACGGGATATATATCACCGTGGTACACAAACTTACTACACTAACACACACCTCTAATTGACGGGATACCTATCAACGTGGTACACTAACTGACTTCACTAACACACCTCTAACTGACGGGATATATATTACCGTGGTACACAAACTGACTACACTAACACGCCTCTAACTGACGGGATATCTATTACCGTTGTACACAAACTGACTTCACTAACACACCTCTAATTGACGGGATATATATTACCGTGGTACACAAACTGACTACACTAACATACACCTCTAACTGACGGATATCTATCAACGTGGTACACAAACTGACTACTCTAACACACCTGTAACTGACGGTATATCTATCACCGTGGTACACGACCTGACTACACTAACACACATCTAACTGACAGGATATGTATATCCTTGGTACACCAACTGATTACAATAACACCCACCACTAACTGACGGGATATATATTACCGTGGTACACAAACTGACTTCACTAACTCACACCTCTAACTGACGGGATCTCTATCACCGTGGTACACAAACTGACTACACTAACACATCTAACTGACAGGATATGTATATCCTTGGTACACAAACTGATTACAATAACACACACCTCTAACTGACGGGATCTCTATCACCGTGGTACACAACCTGACTACACTAACACACCTCTTACTGACGGTATATCTATTACCGTGGTACACAAACTGACTACAATAACACATACCTCTAACTGACGGGATATCTTTTGCCGTGGTACACAAACTGACTACAATAACACACACCTCTAACTGACGGGATATCTATTACCGTGGTACACAAACTGACTACAATAACACACACCTCTAACTGACGGGATATCTATCACCGTGGTACACAAATTGTCTACACTATCACACCTAACTGACGGGATATCTATCACCGTTGTACACAAACTGACTACATAGCATACCTCCAACTGACGGGATATCTATCACCTTGGTACACAAACTGACTTCACTAACACACACCTCTAACTGACGGGATATCTATCACCGTTGTACACAAACTGACTACATAGCATACCTCCAACGGACGGGATATATATCACCGTGGTACACAAACTGACTTCACTAACACACCTCTAACTGACGGGATATCTATCACAGTGGTACACGACCTGACTACACTAACACATATCTAACTGACGGGATATCTATCACCGTGGTACACAAACTGACTACACTAACATACACCTCTTACTGACGGGATATCTATGCCCGTGGTACACAAACCAGTAATATTACTACATTGAGTGATTGATTTTTTGGAAATGAGAGAATTTAACTCAACACCACTCATATCAACTTATGTAACACCAACATTGCATCATATGTCAAAAATTGAAAATAAAAATTGATATCATATTGACCTTTTTACAGACACCTCTTGCATACGCCCAGCGCTACGAACCATTATGGCGGTCAAGGTTTTCCTGGGGCGGAGGATCTCCTGTTCCGATGGAAGCACAATAGCACCAGATCTGCCGTTAGGGAGCTCGAGGGACATCTCTCCGTTATTGCGCATGCTCTCTTCTCTGCGGCCAAAGTCCTGGTTTGTTAGTCGCCATCAACGACTGGAGAAACTCAGAGATCCTTTGCAATAATTTCAGTCTCATACTTATTTTAGTATGAAATAGTTAAAGTGTATGTAGGGGATAAATAATTCTACTGGTGAATTTAACACCAATTTCATTTGGTCACAACTCCGACAATGAGGCTTGCGTCAAAAAGTGAAATATGGTATAACTGATTGTTCTTTTTTAAATGGCCGCCGATTTTTTTATTTTTTTTTAATTATTGTAAAAGAAAGTTAATTCTACAAACAACAGGCATCTAGTGTTTTTGGCACATTCTTCAGATGCATGTTTGCTTTTGAAATTCATCATTTTTTTTTAATTATAACAAAATCCCGTTACGTGAGATCAAAACGAGACTTAGACGTGATTTTAAACCTCAGATGAGAACATCCTGGAAATCAGGAAACTTGTTTTTATTAAGATCGGCCTTTCATGACATTTAGTTTGAGTACAGGAAATAATTTGATGGTTAATTTTTTATATAAAAATCTTTACCAGGGATTAAAGGGGGGGGGGGGGGGGTCTTAATGTGGGAGGAAGCCGGAGTACCCGGAGAAAACTAACGTGGTTGGGCAGGTGACACCATACCTTTACACGTCCGATCGGAGATTCGAACCCCGGCCGCCTTGGTGAAAGGCAAGTGCGCTATCCACTGCGCCATCCGACAACCCATGAGACAAACGACTCAAGGCAATAAAGAAATATAACTTGAACTAGAAGTTTATTCCCTTCATGCAGTAAGGTCGTAAATAAAATACGTAAATATCAATTAATTATTTCTAGGGTATACGATTATTTCCTGTGGAGTTCGTGTGCATTGTACGGGTGTGCCTTCGGGATATATCGTCGTCATATCAGATCTAGAAGTATTGTGATCCCCTGGGTCATGCATCGAGTGCAATATTGTAATATAAAAATGAAAGATTTATTCATTTGGAGACAACCTTCTGGGTGTTGTTTTCTGTCGATCAGTTATGTATTTGTTTGTTTTATGTATTTAGATTAACATGTAAAGGCCTCACTTGTACAATTTTAGAACCTGTTTATGCAAATAATTACGCTGTGCTACTTCCGACAGTACCTGTATGAATAAAAAAAAAAAAAAAATTATTGCCTGACTTTCAGTAAATTGTCATTGCTTATGACAAATTGAAGGAACTATAATAATACGTAGAAAGACATATGAAGACATTTCTTTCTTTTTGCTCTTTTTGCTCGTTATGATAAGTCTTAAGAACAAAACATGAATGAATCAATTTTATGATAAGTAACTTTTACGGGTTTTTTTCTGGTGACATTTAGAAGAACGGTGCGATCCTTGGAGGTTCTGATGGAAATGTTATAAATCACAATATTTTGTTGAGGTGAGACCTAAAGACGATCTCAAAAAAGATTCCCTGAAACAAAGATTTTCACCAATCAAACTTTAAAAGCAAGTTTCAAAAATGCCATTTGGAACAGAAACTAGCTTGTGATTCTTTTTTTCTTTCAAGGATTGCAAACTGATCCGAAAGAACACATTGTAATTTGACTTGAAAAGGTATTTATTTCTCTTTGACGCGAATTCGTGACATAATCACATTTGAGACATATTTCAATGTTCATGCCGGTTAGAACGCAAACCGATTACAAACATGTTAATATCTGTATGTACCCGGTTTGCGTTCATATCGGCATGAACATTGAAAATGCCCATCGATCTTTAAGATATATTTTCATTTCAAATTGTATAGTTATTATTGATCTTATATAGTTGTTCACTTATATTTCGAAATTTAAATGTCAGTATCGTGAGTGCAAAAGAGATTCCTTGAACAGCCTAGCGTCACCGAAACGAGACAATCGTTAGAAGCAATCATTTTTGTGACGTTAGGCTGTTCCAGGAAGCTCGTATGCACTAACGATACATACACTTAAATATTGAAAGTATAAATATACATTTTAAGATCAATAATAACTAAGGATTTTCAATGTTCAATGTTCATGCCGATATGAACGCAAATCGTTTACATACATATTTACCATAAAACCCTAACGGTAGAACAGGAAAAAGGTCGTGATGTCCATGGTTACATTTCCGTCAGATGACAAACTTCAATCGGAAGCATTCGGTAATTTCCGTCGATGTTTGAGTTTGATGTCATCGTATGATTGGTCCCCGATTACTCTAACAGTATGACGGAAATAACCGAAAAGTTCCCGATTATAAAAATTGTTCTTCTTGTTATTCATTCGTAATAAAAGTTTGGTGGTATTTTTATTTAGATGTTGTACAGCGGAAATATAAATGTAAACTACACTAAATATTAGCTTCATCATGTGATAAAACAATTCCGGCACAAATCCAAAACGGTTTCCGAAATGTGACTGTTCTTGTTATAATGTAAACATTGTCTCTTACGGTCCAGGGCAGTCCGTTTATTAAAAAAAACCAGATAATGTCTGTCTATACAAGTAACGTTATGTCGTTCTCGAAGAATCCGATGAAGATAGAGGTGGATGTATTTTTACCATTGCTTGCTTATTTCTAAGTCAGCATATTACATCCGATTCTTTTGCTTTCCAAATGTACTAGTTTTAAGAATATTTTTTTCCTTTGTTAGTCTTAATCAATGGTTCCGTCTGCAATGCTAAACTCGTCAGTGACATTTTGGTAAATCCGTCTATACCGAATATCTTGATTAGTAAGTTGTCTAATTTGATGAATCAGCAATTTTCAATTCAGTACCGCAGGAAGGACCATAGATTAATAAACAACATCTTGGTATGCATTAGGCAAGAATTCTGGCGAAATAACCGCCGCTATCAATATTTAAAACGCATGGTATTTGGGGACTAATTAGAAATGGAGCGTCATGCAAAAAATCTTGTTAAAATCCCGAGACCTGTAACACTGTTAATTCTATTACTTTTCCATTCCGTGCTTCAATAACGCATCTGAAGCCCTATTTTCCTGCATATTTCAAAACTCCCGAGAACCCACGTGTTTAAATTTTCTAAAAATAAAACTGTTTTAGTGGCAAATATACTCCACTGGAAGAGATGGTGATTACGTAACTAAGGCATGGGTATTAAATATTAATCGTGGACACGTAAGCACGCTCACCTGCCCCCGGGCGCGCGCCTTAAATTGTTCAGGTCTCGCGCATGGTAAATGATTTGTTAAAAGTGTCCGTTTGCTACATGTACACTAGATTAGAACGACATCAGCAACCTATGAACTGACAAATCGGTGACAGTGAAGCCAACTGCCGTAGTTCCGTAAATTTGTAATAACCCATATTTGTGCATAACGTTTCCATAATAATAAAATGGACGGCCGTGTTTTCAATCTCACGTGTCTGCTATCTTTCTTTCTTTGCTTAAACTATTTCGTAGAACAGTTTCATGAAAAAATGCAAGCTACTCAGCATTTAACGTTAGTGTGCAACGTACGAGTCAAATGTCGCGAGGTGAATCTCAGCAATGCGGCCAGATTCAGATTTGAGATTCAGATTAATTTTATTCTCAGAAAAACAAGGACGGCTCTACTATCAAATCAAGGGATCTCAGGTTTTACCTTGTTTCAACATGTACTGATAATGTATGTACACCCACAATCATACAGTTACCGGCCTTTTCTTAATTGCACGAGGCACATATACAGCATTACAGGCGAGACAAAACTTTCAGCCAACAACTTATTTTGGGCCCACACTAAATCTGAGAATATTTATGTTATAATTCACCTGGTGCTTATTTTAATTTATTCTTTCACTTTTGTTTCTAGATGGAAGTTCAAAATATCGACGAATTTGTTAAAAATAAAATTTAAAAATAAAATTAAAAAAATATAACATCAAGTTACATGCATCCTTAAGTGTCAATCATGACATAAGCGCTTACGAACAAAACCTGTACAAGAAAAAAATTGAAACGAAAAATAACTGTACCGCTTTATAACTCTTATATAGCGCATAAGGCAGTCGCACACTTTCTCCACCCCAACCGACACTTCGTTTTCACCTCCGCAGTTTACCGGTTTTGTCCCTGTCTGTTTCAGTTATTTCTCCGCTGTTTTACTCCTTGTTGTTCTTCGTCTCCTTCGTTTCCTCTTTCCATCAGCCCTCCAGTAGATTGTCTCTCCGTTAATGTTTTGTTGGTCTTTCCTCAGTGTATGTCATACCCTTCTCCATTTATAGTGAAATTCTGCCGAAATTAAGCGGGAAACAATGTAATTATCCCCGACAAACCGCACTGTGGTTTTTCGCATATAGAGCTACCTCCCCTTAACTTCCGTTTGGATATAACTGTAAATGACCAGTAGCTCAATTGGTTGGAGCGATAGTTTAACAATCAGTATTCCAGTTTTCGAACCCCTTCTCTTAAACGTCCCGCATGGTGTGGTTTTCTTTTCAGAAATGATTAATTAAAGCTAAAGTCATGACGGAAAACAGTTTCTAATACTTAGTTTTAGTTTTTGGCAGTGGTACGTACGTACGGGGATCCTTAAACGACTTGTACCTTACATAGTTATCTCCTTTTCATATCAATTCATTTTGAATTACAACTATCTGACTGTTCTGTGTGTTCTTGTTGATGTTTCAAATATTGGTGAATTCTAAAATAACGAAATTAACCAAAACCAAATAGCTATACTTCAACTGTATTGTACAGGTTTTATTTTCTTGTTGTAAAAATATGGTAGCATACACCCTTAAGTGTCAATGTTGACAAAAGCGTTGACGAATAAAACCTGTCTTAACCACGAGACCCACATTTCCGTTCAAAGTAAAGAGATTTTCTGACTACGCATGGTTTGATTCACTAAGTTGTTAAAGCATAGTGATGTTGAGACAGCTACTTGCAGGCCGTGTACACTTATTTGTTTCACAGAGTTCGTTTTATCCATAAAAAAGTGCAGTTATATAAACATGATGGTCCAGTTTATAAAGATTTCCTGATAATAAAAGTGTTCGGTAAAGACAGGTTACGTTAAAGAACCGGTTTACACAGATTGCCGGATAATAAAAGTGTTCGATATAGACAGGCTACGTGAAGATCCAGTTTATACAGATTTACAGATAATAAAAGAGTTCGATACAGACAGGCTACGTGAAGATTCAGTTTACACAGATTGCCGGATAATAAAAGTGTTCGTTATAGACAGGCTACGTGAAGATCCAGTTTATACAGATTTACAGATAATAAAAGTGTTCGATATAGACAGGCTACGTGAAGATCCAGTTTATACAGATTTCCTGATAATAACAGTCTTCGGTTAAGACATGTCACGTTAGAGATTCAGTTTAT